TTGAGTTATACTTCTTCAGGACCTAAATTCATTCTTGTTGTGACTAAAGTATCTTTTGTTATTGCATTATAGTTTGTTGATTGGCAAAACAGAAAACTCTAACACAACTAGAGTGAAGTACTTCAAATATTGGAATTGCTTGTTGTATTAGTTATTTCAATATATATTCTGATTTCTAATATCTGTCTAACTATATAAAGTAAAGAACAAATATCTTTTTGTATTTTATATATAGATTTGCACTTATTTGCTTATCAGATAATTTTATTAATTTATAATATAGGCAAAGGAAGACTAAGACTATAATAGGATAACCTTCTCTCTTTGGACGTAAGATATCTTTATTTTTTTAATTTATATTCTCTATTTACTATTATTTATATAGAAATAATATTCGTTATATATTATCTGTAGTAATATAATAAGAAGTAATTGTAATTGTAATTATAATTATTATAGATATTTAAAAAAAAATTTAAATATTATTACCTATACTAATTCTTTTTGGCCAGATTCGAGCTAAGATTCTAATATAATCTCTAATATCTTTCTATCAAAACTTTTCATATTTTTTTTATAAATAAATATTCTGTTAAGCTATTCTCTCCTATATATCACTATATCTAATCTTTTATACCTATTGTAATAAATCTCTTCTTTTTTTTATTATATCTAAACTTCTACAAATATATATAGATTTTGTATATACTTTTAAAAATCGTATTTTTTTTAATTTGTTTTAATATTTAAGAAAATACTGTCTTTTCAATATATATCTTTAAGGCACTAGAAGAACATAACTCAAGTTTTTGTTAATATAGCCAAGCTTGACAATTATTAGAAAAATCTTGATTTTTAATCAAGCTTTTTAACTTAGCATGTTTTTCTTGATGATTAGAAAGAAGTTTTTCTGTTTCAATATAATAATTTCTCTATTTTCTAAAACATTTAACTATAAAGTTATCATTGCTCTATATAGCTTGTGCAAGATGAATGCTTGCATTTATCTTGGCTTATCTATTTAACAACAATTTTATATACCTACTTACACTTAGGAGATACAAGTAATTATATATAAGTGTATTAATATTTGAAGATTTTACAATTGTGTATTGTTTATTAATTTCTTTTAAACATATTACTAATTTATTTTTTAATTCAATAGATAGATTTAAATTATCTTTAAGAGTTTGAGAAGATGCTTAAGAAGATATTTAAAGAGATGGTTAAAGAGATATTTAAAAAAATACTTGAAGAGATACTTGAGTAGATACTTGAGAAAATGTTTTAGAAAATGCTTAAAAAGATATTTAAAAAGATATTTAAGAAGATATTTGAGATATTTAAGGAGATATTTAAAGAAATAGCTATATTATACTGGTAGTAAATAGTTTTAATAATGATTGTGATATTTATAATAAAGTATTGGCTATTAGTACTAATGAAGGTAGTTGTAGTAATCGTAATCATTCTATAATATTAATAGCAGAAAATAAATATGACAAATCAGATAATACTTTAATATTTAATAATACTTCAACTTTTTATTTTTTTCTTCAAACTGTAGTTCTTGATAATTTGGTATATAGTGTTCTATTATATTTTATTTCAATAGGTTTTTCTTGTATTATAGTAATTTTTTGCATAGATTCAATATACAATATTTCTTTCTTTATAAGTTTATCTTGAGGCAGATCTTCTTGTATTATATCTATATCTAGAATCATCTTATATTTATCTTAAGGCAACTTTTCTTGTACTATATTCTTATCTAGAATTATTTTATTTGCTAATATAAAATGACCTTTTTCATGAACAATTTAGATATATATTGTTTTTTTTACTTTTTTTTTACTTCAGTAACTCTACCTTTATTTTATAAATCAAAAGTAGATTACAAAATTGCCTTCAGTTAGCTAAACCTATATACAAATCACTAAACTACTATATTTCTGTTTAAATAAAGATTCTCTCGATTTGTCTTATATTAAGGGTAGGGTATTTGTTTACTATTTGTTTGTATATAGCATGAAAATAAACCAATCAAAATTTAATGATCTGCAAAATTAATCAATTATAATTGTATATTTGGTTGTACATGCATATTTATTTGCGTATTATATGAAAAAAACATGTAAACAAATATCCTACCCTTAAAGTATAACTCAGAAGTGACCCACCTAAGTGAACAATTTTTTTTTTTCCAGAATTTTTAATTTTCTGAGGATATGAACCCCAGATATCAACAAATAGCTTTCACCAATCTTGTCAAAATCATCACTCTACAATAAAGTACTGCTAATCTAATAACACTTTCTTATAGAGAAGTAAAAAGAAAAAAAAAGGGTAAGGATAAAACAAAAATAGAGAAAGTAAAAAAGAGATATATAAGAAAACAACTAAAATAAAAAGAAATTAAAAGACTATTTTAAAATCTAAAAGAACTTGTCTACAAATATAAAAATCTACTAACTAGATGAAAAACTATCTACATGGTCATAGAAATCTATACATAGAGCTATCTGACAAAAAAGAAACTATGAACTAAAATATACTTTAATCTATACTAAGAATTAAAAATTATATATATATGATTTCAGAATACTGCATATCTCTAATATATTGCTCTAATTTGCAACTCTTATTTAAATTTATTTCGAATTCTAGAACGTTAATTTTAAAGTCTTGACATATGATTATTAGTTTCATTTATAGCAAGCTGCTTTTTTTAAAATTCTCTTATAGTTCTTCACTTCATGCCTTATTTTTACACTATACAAGATTAAATAGGAGTTTTCTCTATAGTTAACCAGTATCATTAAAAGCTACTTTCTCAAGTTTATCATATAAGATCTTTATTTCTATATAGTCAACACCAATCTAAACACAGAACTTTCATATACTTCGATTTAACCCAAACAAAACTTTCTCCTTATACGTGATTGTTGTATTTCTTATTTGTTATATTATAACTCAAGATTTTTTGAAAATAGAAATAATAAACAATGCCAAATCTTTTACTTTTTGACAAAAAAAATGAAAAAGAAAGCAATGAAAAAATATTGTAATTTTGCAAGTTTTTCAATCAAGGAATATTGTTCCAAAAGTTCTTTATAGCCTTCTGTTTCTAAAATAACTTAAGTTTTCTTTCTACTTACTGTTTCCAGAGACTTCTCTAGTTTGGATGCCAAATGCAAAAAAAATTTCATCTAGAAAGAAGTAAAAAGAGCTTGACCTCTTTGCAAACCATCCAAAATATTTACTCTTTAGTATATTATGTTTAAAACTTTATTGACAACAGTTTGTATTAAAAAAACTTCAAGTTATTTGTTTACTTTTGGTCTTGAGTCTTCAACTTACTTTTGGATACTGGTTAGTACAAATAATTTGATATATATTGTTTTTTTTATTAGAATGCAGTATTGGATATTAAGAATTGATATTAATTCAGAATTAGATGATCACTTAAATTTTAATTAATAAAGTTTTTAAGAATTTTACTAAAATATACTTATAGTATTTTACACCTATATATATATTATCTCAAAAACTGGCTAATTAATTAATATAAAATGTTTTAATTACATCCTCAAAAACCCTTCCCAAACCTTAATCCTAACCTAAATATTAACTTTAACGTGAAAAAATTGGTGTTAAAAATTTTATATACGAAACTTATAAAAACTTAGAAAATTTTAAAAACATAATAAAAACATATAATAGATGCAAAACCACTATAGGTGTGTTTATAATAATTGATAAAAATAATCTATAAAAATATAAACAAAGCTACATAAATATAGATTTAAAACCAAAAATACTATAGGAAGCTAGGGAGTATTTTTTACTAGGGTGTTTCTGCATTGAAACTTTTCGAAACTTCTATTCTACACTAACTATCACAACTAAAATACATCTACCAATCATATTTAAGCTATGTGACCTGATTGTTTTTTTTGCTTAAAGGTAGGGCGAACATAGATCATTTGTTATATGATCTCACGCTAAAAATTTTTTATACCAAAATTGAGTATATGCTATTAGTAAAAGTTTTTAAGGCTGCAACTAAACTTTACCAAAACTTCATAATATATAGATTAAAACCTTTTCTTTATGATAATAAAAGTTTTAACCCTTACATTATTTAAAAAAAATATACCTCTATATATCATTAAATTCTCCTAGGTTGATTAAAATTTGCCTAGATAACACAAAAATTACTAATTCTTATTGGCCAGATTTCGATTGTTTACAATTCTGATTGGTCAAATTAATGTAAATCATATGATATCATATGATTTGCTATTAAAAATGATCTACATTCACCATTCCCTTAATTATGCGAAGCGAAAAAAATGGTCAATTATACGCATAGCATCGCGTATAATCCTGGTCACCCTATCTCTTACTTAATTTTGATCACGTGATTTTAATTCGGTATTTTTATTGGAACCAAAATATTTCATGCTTGTGTAATATCTACATGTAGATCACAAACACTTGGTCAATTAAAACAAATTTCTAGCATGACTGGCCAAAATTTATACGTACCATGCCACAATGCACTGGCACGGCAAAATATATTTTATATGTATATTATGTATATTACAATATTACTTTTTCCTTTAGCCAATCAAATTATTTAAATAGATTGAAAATGTAAATTTATTAATAATGGCATGCCCAATAGGTTTTAAAATTTGGGCATGCCAGTCACCCTACATGTGATCTGTACGACCTCACGTATGATTGCTAGGAAACGAAACCTTAAGAGCCGGTAAAAGATGAGTGATTGATGCAACTAGATCGTATATGAAAATTAATAATTTATATGTATTTGAACATGCAATCATTTTTTTTTTCCATAAACCAAGAACATTGCAATTATGAATCAAGAATATTAAATATTTTATTTATGAATCACAGAGAAAGAAAAAAAATTACAGTAAAAGTTTTATATTACGTGTAGGATTTTTAGCATTATATCCTAAAACATAACACTATGGAATGAATGATAACCATTGTCGAACATCATGAGGACCAGTCCAAGTTCCTTTCAAAAGTCTAGACCAATAAATTTCAGGAATAATCTACAAAGAAGTATTACATAAGAAAAATGAACAATCAATTTTCAGAATAACGAAATAAAGACTTACTTCTTTTGTGAGATAATACATTGATTTTCGTTCAACACCTTGGTCAAAAGGAAAAGTTTCCATTGGTTTCAAAGTATATCCACTAAATTCCGCTAAAATCAATTTATCTCTTCCAACAAGTAAAGGACAGCTAGCATATCCATCATATTTTGCAGCAAGAGACGGACTGAAATTTCCATTAATAACAGCTAGTAAATTCTTTTTCAACACACCAGATTGAGCAGAAATTGCAGCGGCAGTTTTCGAAGTTGGAGCAGAGGAAGAGTCACCGAGTGAAAAAATGTTTGGATATTTTACATGTTGTAAAGTATATTGATCAACATCTACCCATCCGGCAGCATTTCCAATCTTTGATTCAGCGATAAATGAAGGTGGGCCCATTGGTGGAACTACATGTAATAAATTATAGTTGAAAACTTTGGATTCACCGGTTTTTATGTCTTTGAACACCGCTTCATGTTTATCACTATGTATTTCAGTTAGCTCAGTTTGAAGATTAACTTGAATATCGCGTTCTTTAGCGATACGATTTAAACCATTGGCATATTTTTCCACACTAAATATCTTGCCCATTGCCGTGTTGTAAATAACTTTGGTTCTATTTCGTACAAAATTTTTTGTAAAACGATCCTCGGCAAGGTAAGCTATTTTAATGGCAGCACCGGGACACTAAAAACAAAAACAAAAAAAATTAAACATTAGTTAACATTAGTTTTTAATAAGAAATTGAGTAAATAGTGGAATTATGAACCTTAATTGGGGTACTAGGCATTGTGAAAATTGCATTTCCACCAGTGAAATTTCTGATTAAATCCCACGCTGACTTAACAGAGTTTTCTGAGTAAATACTAGTAACGTTACTGTTTGGTTTAGTCATACTTTCTGGAAGACCTTTAATCTTGTCCCAATTTACTTGAATACCAGTAGCCACAACTAAATAGTCATATTTCACCTACGTGATGAAAAAAATTATTAATAATTTTAATAGTAAACACTGATAAAAGTTTAAGATTTTTAATTCACCTGCTGACCATCTTGTAATATGACAGTATTATTTTCAGGGTCAACTTTTGTAGCTTCATTTTTAATCCACTCAGCATTTTCTGGAAGTACTTCTTTCATAGGCTTAGCAGACTCATCAAATTTCTTTAATCCAGCACCAACAAATGTCCATAGAGGTTGATACTGTACATATATAAATACATATTAATTTAATCGTAGGAATGAATGATCATGTAATAATGACATACGTAATGAACATTGGATGGTTCAATGACGGCTACAGCATTTTTACCAAGTACTTGAGATAGGGTTGATGATACTTAATCGATTAAAAAACACATAGGATGTTATTACCACAACTTTTAATCAATAATAATATATTGCAAATATTACTTCTCACCAGCTAAACCGCCAGTTCCACCACCTAAATATAGTAAAAACAACGAGTAAATATTAAACGGATAAAAATATTCAATTATAATAATTCATTCAGTTCACACGTACCTATTACAACAACTTTATAAGAAGGTATTGTAGCATTGGTCGAGGCAAACCTTTTAAATAAGGAATGTCCTCGCCTTGTGATATTTGTAAAATATTTTTGCCCAAAAATCATTGCGATAAAAAAAAAGAGAAAAAATTAATTTTCGATTTAATTTATTTAAGATTAATTTATAGCTGAGAATGTTTAAAAATTCATTTATCGATTCATTTATATGAATAATTTTTTGATAACGATAATCACGACTTTACTTATTTGTGCTGGTAATACAAAATTCACGTATCGTCACATGCTGAAATCATAAGTTTCAAAAAGAACAATCGAAGCTTTAATGTGTCATTTATTCTATTTGAGGTAGGGATATAATTTTGTGTAAATTAATTTTCATAATTGTAATTTTGAACACATGATATTTGAGAGGTGGTCTAGAAAAAATAAGAAAAAATATCAGTCCGGATTATCAAATTGGTAATTTGCTATGAAAATCGCTAATTATAATAATTCCAAATAGGGTCGGTTAAAGCGGAGCGTCAATATATGATCTACATACCGCATAAGTTGCATTCTTGATATCTATATAACCTACTAATCATAATTTCATCAAAAAGGTAACCCTAAACCTCACTCCGCTTTAACCGACCCGCCAAAACAGCAAAATAGGGATGTAAATCATGTGATCAGCAACCAATCAAATTATAGAATTTTGATGATCGCCGGCGAAGCAAAACAAAAAAATAAAAACCAAAAACCCGAAAAATACAAAAAACGGCATGTCGGGAAGGCAATTTTGCTTATATATAACTACCTAAAACCTATTCTAACCCTAAAGTTAATCGAGAACATTATTAAGAAATATGAGTGCCTCCGCTTTAGACGTCCCCCAAAAAATGGAATGCAGATCAAGTGATTCTTTTTGTTTCGGTTACACAAATCGGAAGCTGAGTTATC